AGTCACATGCTGGAAGGCGGAAGTCGGAGTGCTGAGCTGCTGGTCGCTGGAGGTCGGTGCGTGGAGGTGGAGGTGGAAAGTCACGTGCTGCTGGAGGGTGGAGGTCGGCGCGCTGCGCTGCTGGGCGCTGGAGGTCGACAGGTGGAGGTGGAGGTGGAAAGTCGGATGCTGGAGGCTGGGCGTCGGAATGTTGAGCTGCTGGGCGCTGGAAATCGATGGGTTGGGGTGGGGGTGGACAGTCGCTCGCTGCTGGAGGGCGGAGGTCAGAGCGCTGCGCCGCTGGGCGCCGGAGGTCGACGCGTGGAAGTGGGGGTGGAAAATCGCATGCTGGAAGGTGGAAGTCGGAGTGCTGAGCTGCTGGGCGCTGGGGGTCGGCGCGTGGAGGTGGAGGTGGAAAGTCACGTGCTGCTGGAGGGTGGAGGTCGGCGCGCTGCGCTGCTGGGCGCTGGAGGTCGACGGGTGGAGGTGGAGGTGGAAAGTCGGATGCTGGAGGGGGGAAGTCGGAGTGTTGAGCTGCTAGACGCTGGAGGTCAATGGGTGGAGGTGGGGGTGGGAAGTCACATGCTGCTGGGCGGTGGAGGTCAGAGTGCTGCGCTGCTGAGCGATGGAGGTCGATGGGCGTAGGTGGAGGTGGGCAGTCACCTGCTGCGGGAGGGCGGAGGTCGGAGCGCTGAGCTGCTGAACGCTTGGGGTCGATCGGCGGAGGTGGAGGTGGAGGTGGAAAGTCGATCGTTCGAAGCTCGAGGTCGGAGTGCTGGGCCAGAAGTAAGAGGTGAGATGCCGAAGGCCGTGGGTAGAGGCAGAGGTCGGGCAACAGCGTCTCGCCGAAGTGGTCGCACTCGTCCGGGCGGGCCCCTGCGCAGTGGGAGGGGCGGTTGCCGGACAGCTCCGGGCAGCGTTGTTCCCAGTGCGGCTTCGGCGGTTGTCGGAGATGCGATTATACTCCGGGCGTTCAGCTCCATGATCCCGATCATGGGAGGACTCGTCGTAGAGAAAAGAATATTGAGGATAAGGCTCAGGAAGACCAGAAACATCTGGAACCAGAGCGGTGGATATCCCGAAGTCCGCCCTGGAAGAAGCGGTCGCCGAGATACTGTTGGAAGTGGTAACTTTGCCCAAACCCACAATAACACCTCTGGAGAAAGACGAATAGAGACGAGAAAGAGGTTCAGGAGGATCGGGAAGATGTGGAACCAGACGAATGGATGCGTCGGCATCTTTGCCCGTGACCTCCACGTTCGGAACGGAGAAAAAAAACATAGATCTTGCATGTTGTGGCTCGGACGCTGGTGGTGGCCACCAGGGTCCGCCGTGCGTCCTGCTTGGACCCTGTGGACCCCCCCTTCGCAGATCCTTTTAGGCTCTTCGCGGCGCGGGTGGCGATCTCATCGCATTTCGCGGTAACGTCTGTCAATTTTGCGCGGTTGTGCAAGGTTCCCCCCTCTGCCCATTCACCAAAGGCCCACTCCTGGATAACCGTGTCTCCTTCAATCTTCACGGTAAGAGCCAACTTCCCACAATCTGTTACCGTGTGGTTCGTCTGTGTCGTCGACGCGCATTGGGCAAGTGATGCCCATTGTCCTTCAAATTGTATTTGACGCCAAAACAAGAGTTGCGTGCACCACGGATCAGTGGTGGACGATCGTTTGTAAACCAAATATGTCGTTCGCTCTTGTTAATTTTGGCGCTCCGAATCCGGCCAGCCGCAAGGCTTCTGTCGTCAATGCTGAGAAATTCTATGAACAGCATATCGTTGAATTCTCCCTTGGCGTACATGTGGGTTGGTGCTGGCGCCCCTAGACGTTGTAGTTCTTGTTTGATCCAAGCGGCTGCAGCCTCCAAGGTGTCAAAACCGTCGACGTTTCCGATGACAGCAGTGCTGTCCCTCTTGTCTGTGATGCTGTTGGTGCTGTGGGTGACGTGTGCTGCCGGACGTGCTGGAGTAGCGCGTTGCTGCTTCATTGCTTCGATGTCCATCTCCAACTGCAGTAGTTTGGCGTTGGTAGTCGAGTCTACTGTCGCTGCGGATTTTGCTGATGACGGTCGGGACGAAGTTTCCAATGCCGATACGCGTTTGGTAATGTCGTCGGCTGATGCTTGAAGAGGTTTCACTGCGGTGTCAAGGGCCTCCCGCGTGATCCCATATGCCTTGATGGCTATGATGTCGTTGCGGATCGGCTCCGACTGTTTCTTCAGGATGACTTTGGGCGTCTCTGCAGTCAGAGCCGCTCCAAGAGCCACGTTGGTGCCCGCGGTGTTGTTCTTGTCAGCGTTATTCTGCTGCTGTTCGAACAGGTCCTGACGCGAGTTTGTGCCTTCTTGGTCGACCTTGAGCGGCGAGTTGCCAGTGCGGGCCACTTTGTCCTGCCCACCTTTCAGTGCCGAGCGTCGCGTCAGGAGAAGGATACTATGCTTTTTCCGGCATGACAACAGCTGCCCACAAGGGTGGCGTAAGAGAGAAAGGAATTATGTGATGGAGAAGGAGTGCGTAGTAGGATGAGAGGATGCCTTGGCTCAAGGCTTGAGCCCCGGCTCAAGGCTTGTGCCGCTTGAGCCTTGGCTAAAGGCTCGTTACGACGCGCCAGATGTTGCGTCTGGTAACGTTCGCTAGATCATACATCAAGTTATTATTTCGAGCGGCGGGATATGTCCACAAGTTGATGTCCATGAACTGCTGCTGTGGAACACTACGCCGTATCAAATCCTGGTTGAACTTGAGGAGCTTGATCAACTTGTTCCTACTGAGATCTAGGACTGACATACTTTCCTCGCGCATCTTTCTTGAATTGGTGGCTCCACCGGCTCGCAACCTCGTTCAGACCGAAGTAACCTTGTTGAAACCCATGCTTCAGGTGGGCGTGTAGTCATGATGACCTTGGCTGTGGGGAACGTCAAGAGCATGTCCAAAACATAATTGCTCGAAGGGGAGTCTAGAAGCGCATCCACATCACGGGGAACAGTGGTATCATCAAATGTTATGTAGTAGCGTCTGCATTCCGAAGCATCATCAAGCATACGATTGTGCAGAAGATTTGCCATCCAGGATACTACCTCTGCTCCAGCACTCACCCCCTCCTCAAAATCAGTGAAGCGCTGACCCCTCATTTCTAATGAAGATAAGCAAGAGCGAGACTTTTGGTGCCTGTAGTACCCTCCCCTGCTGCAAACAAAAATCCGTCAATCAGACTGCGCGTTGGAGTTCAATGGATGGTTGCGCATGTAACCACCCACCCCTGCTCGGACATTGTTGAGTTGGTTTGCACAGTTCAGTACACATTATTGTATTGTGGCACCTTGCAGACTGGCAAATGGAAGCGCGATGCAGCAAGAAAAATATGATTGCGCATCCTTACGCCAAAAAATCGAAACATGTGGAAATGGCGAGCTTGGTCATTCTTGACCGCGCGAAGCAAAACACGCCCCGAGTTCCCGCCTTGAGCCAAATGGCTACGGATTGCCCGGGAGCAGCTCTTCATCCTGAGTCGTTTGTTGACACCCCTGAAGGGCCCGTAAAGGGCCCGCCAGGAGCCTGAAAGCGGCAACGAAACCTCCAAGGACCCCTCTCTCTAGAGACCCCGGTCCCTTCAGGAAGATACGAACCGGCCACCTCAAATTTGTCTTGGCGCCCGCTTGTCAACCAAATCTGTTTTGATGGCCCTGGGGCCCTGGGCCACCCCGGAGGCCGAAAACGACAAAACATCCGACTTGATTTCTCAAGACGTTGGGTGTCGGGGAACCGCGCCTCAAGACTCGATGCCAGGACCTCTCCCATGGGGTGCGCTCTGGCCAGAATTGCTCCAGCATCTTTAGACGAGCGCGTTCCACTACTCGCAAAGTCACTACTCGCAAATGGCCTGGATCCAACGCGGGGGATCTACGAGAAATTAGAAAAAAAACATGTGTTTTTTCGGACGTTTGCGAGCGGGCACTTGAGCAGTGGAACTCGCTCGGTGAACCTTGACCAGAAGCACACGCGGCCGGGAACTGCTGCACGGCGAGTCGCGGCGGCGGCCCTGGCAGCACGCAGTGCCCTGCAAGACTGAAGGTGCCCCAGGACACACAAATAAATACACACAAATAAAAAGATCCCCCATATTTTCCCATATTTTGGGGGGTTTTGTCTTCCCCCCACTTCCCATATTTTTGCATATTTTCCTGGGAGTCGACGCTTAATTGTGTCTGTGTGTTTCTTTTCCTCCTGGAAGACGACAGCGCGTCGCTCCGCACCGCGGGGCGGAAGGCGGGCAAAGGCTCGGGGCGTGGGCGCCCGGGGGGGCACAACCAGCACCGATCCAGGAGATCCGCGCGGACCTTCGGAGGGTCCGTGCTTATGCCGTTCTCGCAGTTCGAGAATCGAAGCCTGGTAGGCTCTCGGGCCAGGCGAAAGGGGGGGGTGAGAAACAGCTCTAGCTGATTTTCCCAGCGCCTCCCGGCGCCGGGCGGCGCCTATGTATCGAGGAATGGGCCCGGCGGCGGGGCCGAAACCAGCTGCATGCAGCAGATTTCGTAACCCGCCCTTTCCCAGTCCCCCCCTTTCGTCCGGCCCGACCCTCCTTCCTCACACCCTTTATGGAGGATGGTAGGGAGAGGCTCAGAGGGGGAAACATCGGCCTGGCGTCGGAAATAGAAGTCGCCGATCGATTGACGCGAGGCCCCCCATAGCGAATCCGCGAGCTCCTGGGCGGGTTGGGCTATCGCGCCAACATCGACGATCAATACGGTCGGACTTAGAACAGAAGAGCACCCTTCAAGAACACGAAACCCTCCGCCGGTCAGTACGACGAACATTCGAGGATGTCCTCCCCCAGGACGCACAAAAAAACATCCATAACGCACGAACATCAAGGCACTCTCCCCAGACCGACCTCGTCGATCTTTACCTCGGCCCGATCGGAGGCGACTGAGGGTCGATGCATTCCCCACCTGAGCCCATCGCCGCTACGGTGGCCCTGGACCCTCCTCCGAGCCTGGGGGGGGGGCGGGGGGGGGGGCGCCCCCGCCTCCAGGACCAGTACAGCGGCGCCGCGAGGACGGCGCCAGCGGCCGCGCCGGCCGCAGCTCCAGCGGCGAGCACGGGGCCGCTCACGACTTGCCCGCGGGGGGGGGCGACCTCCTCCTGCGTCCCTCCCTCCTCCTCCCTCTCGCGCTCCTTGCGGTCTCCTCCTCCTCCTCCTCCTCCTCCTCCTCCTCCTCTTCCCTCCTCCTGATCTTCCTAGTCCCTCCTCCTGATCCCTCCTCCTCCCCCTCTCTCTTGCGTTCCTTGCGGCCTCCTCCTTCTCCTCCATCCTCCTTTCTCCCTCCTCCTCCTCCTCATCCTCCCTCCTCCTCCTCCTCCTCCCCCTCCCTATTCTTCGCCGCCTCCGGCCCCCTCCTCCTCCTCCGGCCGCGGGGCGTGTCCGGCCGCGAAACCCGCCCGCCGCGCGGCCGCAGGGCCAGCGGCCTGCGGTCCCACCGCCAGGCGCCACACCTCCTCCAGGAAGCGCAGCACCAGCGCGGTCCCACCGCCAGGCGCCGCTCGGCCCAGCAGCGCCGCAGCCGCCCCGGACGCCCCCGCGCCGCCGCCGCGGGCCGCCGCGCCACCAGCCGTCGCCCCGCCGCCGGCTTGCGCCGGGCGCCTGCCGCGCCGCCGGCAGCAGCCGCCGCGCCTGCCCCGCGCCCGCCTGCCGCCGCCCGCGGCCCGAGCAGCTCCGGCAGCAGCCTGGCGCCCCTGCCCAGCTCGCCCTCCTGCTCCTCTGAGCGCCCGGCGTAGCCTCCCCGCCCAGCAGCCCGCGCCCGCCCTGCCGGCCGCGCAGCGCCCGAGCCAGAGCGCGCCCCGCCGCCGCGCCGCCGGCCGCGGCCCGGCGCCCCGCGCCAGCCCAGCTGCAGTGCCCAGCAGCGCAGCGCCTCAGCCCCGCGCAGCAGCAGCCGCCCGGCGCAGCGCCCAGCAGCACGCCGCAGGCCTAGGCCGCGGCCCAGGTGCAGCATCAGCGCAGCCCGGCCGCGTGCCGTAGCTGGTGGGCCAGCTCCCGCTGCAGCGCGCAGCTGAGCACCCGGTAGGCTCGCGCAAGTTCTTCCTGCTGCGAGTCCTCCGGGAGCTCCCTGGCCAGCGCCAGCAGCCAAGCCCGCGCCTCCCGAGCCGGCCGCCTGTCTCCTCCACCTCCTCCTCCTCCTCCTGCTGCTGCTCCTCCTCCCACTTATGCTCTTGCGCTCCTCGGCGGTCTCACCGTGCACACAAGGCGCCGGCCCGCTCAAGAGAGCGAGGCTGAGGACGCCTCGGGTGAGTTCTACGGACCCACCGCGGCATTTCGGGCACAAGCTGACACGGATCATGCCCAACCCGTTCTCGCAGCCACTTCTCGCATTTTCCTTTTCCTCCTCCTCCTCCTTCTCCTCCTCCTCCTCCTTCATTCTCTCTCCTCCCTGCTCCCTCCACCAAACGAACGTGCCTGAAGTTTCTCGGGTCGGCGCTGTTGGCGACGATGAACAATCGGCATGCCTCCGAACGCGCCCAACTCGTGATGTGACTTCGAAGCGAATTCAGCCCTGGCGCCGAGGGAAGCGCAGCAGCACCGGTACTTTCTCCTCCTCTACGAGGGAGGACGAGGAGGAGAGGCTCTAGACCACGGGGGGGGGCCCTCCGGCATCGTCGAAGACCCCGAAACCTGACGAGACGATGGACTCGATGCGCGGACCCAAGGCCGACTTGAGCACGAAACGCCAGCTGAAAAGCCGGGCCGTCGGAGATCGCTGTCCATTTCTGACGGCTCCCTGGCCCGAAAACGGCCCCCTCGGAGGCTCAAATCGAGGAACAACGCCGGTGGAGAAAAACGATGTCGTCGGAGATCGATCCATTTCTGATGGCCCCCGGGCCCGACAAACGGCCCCGGATGCCAAGATCGAGTGAACGACCCGGGCTGCCAAAATCATGTCGTCGGAGACCTGGCCACGGGGGGGGGCCCATCCAGCATCGTCGCAGATCTGGCTCGAGCGGCAAAGACCCTGGCCAGCGGCGATGAGGGGCAACGCTCGGGGTGGAGGGACTGGCTCGGGGGCGGGGGGGCATCGACCTGGAATCGGCGATACACTGCCGAAAGATCGGCGATACAGCAGATACACGTAATGGGATGTCTTGTCGGAGGTAGATGTATGGATACATGTGCTGTCGATTTTTCGACCTACTGAGGTGTCACATGCCCTCCTCGGCGGGTCCCCGGGGCCAATGGGGAAAAATGAACGTTCGTGGGGCACCTGTTGGCAGGCAAGTTTCTTGACGTACCTGTTGCAGGCCCCCGATAGAATCCGCACGCTCCTTGGCGAGGTGAGCTGTCGGGCCGCTATAGGCGATGTGATTGGGGGGGGCGATGCGTCCCTCCCTGAGCGTATCCCTTCCTGGCGTTGCCCCTGCAGTGGCGAGGAGGTGTCGTGGCGGCGGGGCTGCGAGCCGGTGGCCGTGCCCACGGGGATGAACCCCAGCGCGTAAACCTCGCGCCCGCGCGGCTGCAGGGTCAGCCCAGCATCGGACCCCCACGATCCCATCTGCTGAGCGCTGCAACCCATCTCTTCTCCTCCTGTGTCCACCTTCCTCGCCCCGACGCGCACCTCCTCGCGGCTACATCTGCATCTGCGTATGGCCTGCCGTGCACAGGCCCACCTCACACAAGATAGGCATTGGTGTTCGACGTGGGCGGTGGGGGCCGACATGTTTCCCGATATGTGCTGTCACGTGCGCAGGCGCACCCGAGACACTCTGCATGTGCCCCGAGCGTGGCGCAGCTGGCGCGGCTGGAATATGCGGCACACCGGGCGCACGCAAAAACACGTAGCGCATCTGGCGCACCAGGCGTGCCTGGCACGCTCGGGCCCCAGGGTGCCTGGCGCGCGTGACGAGCCTGGCACGCGTGGCGCACCTCGCCCAAGCGTCGCGCACATGGGTTCGGTTCTGGTTCCCGGTAGCTGCCCATCCAAAGCATGGTGGGGCTCGGGTGTTACTGATGTGTTGGGGTGGACGGTCGCAGTGAGCTAGACGGTTTGACATATAGGAGGGTATATTGACCCCCCCCTCCCCCCTCCCCTTGGGTAGTCAAATCTTCCAAGGTCGCCCAAGACGGCTCCACGAGGGCCTCGGAGAGCCCACGATGACATGCAAAATGGCTCAAGAAGTTTGAAGGAGGCTGGGAGGCCCAGCCAGCAGTTTCGCCTTAGGCGAAGCCAAGCTCCAGCTCTGCTGTGCCGGTGTAGCGATAGTCCCAGTAGGAGAGGATGTGCCATTTTAAGCAATAGGAATATCCTTTCGGTCTCGATAGCGATCGTGTGCCTCGCAGTGAGGCACAATCATATTTGGGCGGCCGGCCGCTTGAGCCGATGCGGCCGCGGGCGCACTCTCGCTTCCACTCCTTACGTCCCTGAATTCGCTTTAGAGTCGGGGGGGGCGAAGCGTGAGCCCGCCACCCCTATACAACAGGCACAGCAACGAATGTACACAAGGACAGAAGAGAGATAGCGGGCCAAAAGGAAGGTGGACCCGCTCGCAAGTTGCCTCGCTTGTATAGTGCTGTACTTGACGTACCATCAGGCGGCGTCAGAACTTGATGTCTGGCCGGCCCGATATGGAGTATGTCTCTTTAGGTCATGATTGAAGGCCTGTATACCTCTCAAGACTTGAAGGAGCATCTCTCTGTCGATGCTCCCCTTAGTGTGACCATCCGCGGTCATATCGCGGGTGTCGCACCACTGGATGCTGCGCACGATCCCACGCTCCATCATCTGTCGTACACAACTGATGTGTCCTAAAAGGGCACACCCAGTCGGCTTCTTCAAGTCTTTGCTTGACATGGACATAAAAACAGACTCAGCATCTATGGTCAAGGTGACCTCGATGCTCAGGCCACCCAACTAAAGTATATATTTCAGCTGAGTGGGCGTGCGCGGCCCTGCGTGGAGCTCGTGCAGTCTCACAATCGTGGGATAACAATCCTCCAAAGTATGGGCTGCTGCTAGTGTCTCGGCTGAAAAGCTCGAGCGGACCTGCAAGCCATGAGACTTGGAGTGCGCATCAATCAAGTGAACGACAAGCTTACCGGATGACGTGTTTCCACGTCGTAGCAGGCTTGCCCCACGAATGCCATAGCGTTTGACGTCGTCATCGGCGTCTCCACTCAGGCGTCGGTATCCTGAGTCGCTATGCAGGTCGACCTCGCCCGTAGGATTCATCGCCTGGTAGACACTCTTCTTCGGGCAGGCCTGTAGCTTCCTGGTGATCGCGTTCAGTCGTCGCACTTGGATGTTTGTCGGTCTTGGACACGTCGTAGAGAAACAACATGCGCCCTCAACCACGCCTGGGCGATTAGCGCATACGCCAGCGCACCCCTGAGGCTGACGAACACGTCGGCAACCATCTTGGTTGCCTGAGCGTCAGCGTCGGCGCCGGTCAGTTCAGGATGTTGTATGGGACGGAGCTGTTTGATGTATTCATGTTGGTCCAAAGTGACATCGCCGTCCTCATCGTTGGTGCATCTCACAGCATAATTGGTGCATGTGTGCTTGTTGATTGTACACTTACCAAACTAATATTCTCCGAATTTGACAGAATTGTCAATGGTGTCCTCAGTGCCGGCCATATTGATGTCATCAACATGTTTGGCCGTGAGCAAATCGTTGCTCGTCTCGAACTCCTCGTCGTAGGACGCGGGTCGGAGACCGAAGCCTCTGGTGGTCCTTCTGAGCTTTAGTGAGAAAGCCCGCGGTGCGTCTTTGGTGCCTGTGCCTGGTTTCATGCGCTGTAGGCAGTGTTTTGACTCGTCGTAGCGCTCGAATCCTGGGAGAGTTCGGAGCACTGTGGCCGATCCAGGCGGCAGAGTAAAACGCACCACGCGTTCCTTTCCACCGGTAGCCTCAGCGGGCTCCTGATAGGTCAGTCCCTTCAGGAAAGCCATGTTGATGTCCAACGAAGCAATGATCCATTGCTTCTTGCACGCTGCCGCGCTAGCGAGTAGCCTCTGGATTGGCCGTCGCGCTGTTCCCGAAAATACGTTTACGCCGAAGGATTCAAGGTTCGTGAAACCTCGGAGAACCAAGCGTAGTCTGATGGTGCGTGCCATGTCGCCCTTCTCGTTCTTAACGAACTTCCATGTGCGCACGTACCTCGAAGTCATGATGTTCGACGGTTTAGCTATATATTGCATCTTAAAGCACTTGTGGTCGAGCCATGTCTTGAGTTCAGTGGACCTTCGGTACTTTTTCGGGATTCGCCTGGATGTCAACTTTCGCGAGGAGGTCGTCTTCCTTGACAACCGCAGCTCGCTATGCAGCGGCGGTTACGTATATTCGCATAGTGGTCACCCGGTCGCATCTAGTATCATATGTTGTTGTTCGGACAGAACTACGTCTGCCATTTCCGTCGAAACAGAGTTCGACGTATCGACCATTCTCATTTGAGTCCAGTCCGCAGCTGTCGTCTTCGACCATGGTGCGCATTGGGACGTAGTGCGTCTCCTCGGCATCGGAGTCGCGAGTGCGTCCCTTCTTCGGCAGGCGTTCCCGCTGTTCATCAGCTACAGTGATCAGCGCACTTTGATCTGGAACCATGCGTACGTATGGCGAAGAGGTCCTCTGGTGGAGTTGCCTCCAGCAACTCCTTTTCCCATTGTAGTTCTGCGTGCCACACTTCCATAACATGCGACTCGAGATCAGCCTCTGGTTCTTCGTAAATCGTAGAAAGCCGCCCATCATCATGTAGTGGTTCGGCTGCTGAGGCTTCTCTCGTGGTTCCCTCCGGCGTCGGTGCATCTGCCAATTCCTCAAATCTTGACATGTCCTGATCGAAACCTGCTTGAGGTTTAGTGGACTTCAGGCAATGAATAATACTGGAACGTGTCATGAATTTTCAGACCAGCGCCATCTGATTCATAGTAATGGAATCCTGGATTCACGTCGCTGTCATAGTGGACCACTGCGCAGCTGTCGGCATAAGTAACCGAAGGCAGCTCAAGAATACTCTTGGCTAGCCTGACTGAAACTACATTCTCAACGCGGAAGAAGTTTCTGATAATGTACTGCAACGCTAAGTGTACCTTGGGAGATAGACGGCTTGGAGTTGTCATCTGAAGCGCCCCTTTCTTGGTCGGCACACAGCCAGAGGTCAGAGCAGTTCTCCCCGCCGATAGGCTGGCTACGAATGTTAACACTGTGCGTAGCGCAGTGCTCTCGGAGCCAATCTCTCGGGCGATCGGTGCTTCAATGTATAATGAATGTCTTGCATCGCCGTATAATGAAAGACTTGCGTCGCCGCAGTGTAAAAATCACAGAAACCATTGTTTTTTAGAAAAAAAAAGCCGAAAACATTTACGGTTGGTATTGAAAGACCAATGGTTTCTTTATTTGTTTTACGGAGGTCTGTTTTTGTTGTTTTCCATTGGTGTTCAGCGGTCTTAATTGATCGCGGCTTGGAAAAATGGTTTCTTTATCTTGTTACTGATCTTCTTTCTTGCGTTCCTGATGTTATTCCGCCCTTCTTTCCCTCGTAACCATTTCCTTCCGAAGCCGAAGCCTCGGCGTTGATTGTTGTTGGTTGCATGTTGCATTGGAACAAAAGGTGCTTTTGGTTTATTAATGTATGTTTCTATTTCTCTGTGCTGTTTGTATGTTTTGTGTGCGCGTGTGTTCTTTGCGTTTGGTTTTCGGTGTGATTGCGTTCGGCATGTTATTTTTCCTCATTGCTTCCATGCTTATCCCATGCCTGCCTCGTGTATTTCTTTTTCCCGCCTCCTTCCTTCCCTCCCCGCCCCTTCACACATTGCCAGCGCAATCGTTTATACTTTCCCCTGTTCCTTCTATTGCCGCAGTGCAGATTGCAACTTCATTGGGTTGCGACGCGACGCCGTGCCCCGCGCGACGGCGCCGCCTCCTCGGCGACAGGCGGGAATGCCATGCGCTTGCAGCGCGGCGCAATGCAATGCCGAGGGGGGCGGAGGGGGGGAGAGCGGTGGAGAGGCCTCCACGCATTGATTCCGGAGGGTTCCACGCATTGGTTCCTTGCGTGGATGGGGCCTCCACATATTGACTTTTGTCGTGGAAGGGGCATCCGCAAATCAAATCCTTGTGTAGTGGTGCCTCCACTTATTGATTCCTCATGTCGAGAAGCCCCCGCGCATTGATTGCCCGTGTGGAGTGGCCTTCTCACATGGATTCCCTCTGCGGCCCCCCCGCGCCTAGCGGGGGGGGGGGCGAACGAGGGCGCGAGGCAGGATGGTGGGGTGCGAGGGGGGGGGGGGGGGGGGGGGGGGGGGGGGGGGGGGGGGGGGGGGGCGCGCAGCGGGTTTTTTTTTGGGGGGGAGGAGGGGTGCGAGAGGGTGGGGGGGGGTGGGGGGGGGGGGGGGGGGGGGGGGGGGGGGGGGGGGGGGGGAGGGCCGAGGCCCTTCCTCCGGCCCCAATAGGAACGCAATAAGAATGCGATGCGATTGCAACGCCGCGCAATACCATGCGCTCGCAGCGCAATGCAATGCAACGCCGAGGATGGAGGAGGAGCGAAGACGGAGGCGGGGAGGGTGGTGGAGAAGCCCCCACATATTGATTCCTTGTGGGGAAGGCTCCGCATATTGATTCCTCGCGCGGAGGGGCCTCCACATATTGATTCGCGTTGTGGAGGGGGCCTCC